AGAAAATATGTCGTATTGTTATAAGAAATTATATGAGCTATCAAAGGTATCTGATGGACATATATTGATCAAGCTCCTATAATCATGACAATACTTGTTAACCTACAAGTTCATCACAATTATAAACTCTAGTGCTACTCCACTAAAAACCTAGAGTTTCACTCTCGATCTATAGAGTATATTTACAAAGCTCTGAATAACTCTCGTCCTTAATTCATTATATTAGTGTATCATTCTCATAGGATATCCATAATCGACTTGAGATTAAATTCTGTTTTACGTTCTTAATTATATTTATCTTATGCTCCATTACCACTCTATTGAAAAATCCACTATTTGTACCAATCCTATTTGTTTCCATGGGGCTAAACCCCACTCTCTCATAAGGATGAGCCCCACCTGTGGGTCTCACATATAGGGCCCACCCTTTTTGAGAGGGTGAGGATAAAACCCTATGGGGCTATAGAACATTTTTTTATTTAAATTTGCTTGCAGAGAAGGGAAGCAAGAAGTGCACCCTGCAACCTGTTGGGGTATTTTTAGGATAATTAAAATTACCGAGATGAGAAATTCACTTTTTAAGTTCGTCATATTTGGGAATGATATTTTAAAAGCATAAGATATAATAGGATATTTATTATCTATTTAATAAAAGAGTTTATTCATTATTTTATGTGCATATTGTTGGGAATAGTGTCCTAGAAGCATGAGATGTAATAAGATATTTATTATTTAATTAATAAAAGAGTTTATTCATCATTTTATGTGCATATATTTATGAATATTTTATGAATATCAAATGAAAATTCTGTGATTGTTTATGTAACCTTAAACATAGTATATAAGTGTTATATACGAGAGGATAGTGTTTAAGGATAATAATAAAAAACATTGTTCATGATGACTTTAATTAAAGTTTAGAATCTTTAATTAAAACATTATTAATACATGTCATTCCCATTTAGAATGGAACGGTGTTATCCGCACTATTAATATGGCGAGATATTGAATGAGTGCATTTCGCATAATAAGATTATGTGGAACAAGGACACAGACAAAATATGAATTTCTAATAATTTCCGTTAAGCATATAAATTCTGATTGAGTCTATCGATGGTCATATATAGGATGATCTTAATCCTGAGTTCTTAACAAACTCATATTTATGGATTTATGTCTTTTGATTTACTCGGTATGGATTCCGAGACCCTGAATCATATTCCTTGTATTTTAGAGACATAATGAAATAGGTAGCTGGGAATGATATTATACGAGATGGAATCCATTCCTTCTTGAGAAAGAAGTAGATAAATAATTCTCTTGAGTGGTGATTCGGTACTTGGATTAGTAAGAGCGCTCTGGTTCATGAATGTGTTTTATGAATCACTATCCATTAGAGAGGAGTAACTATTGGAATTAATAGAATTAATTAATTAATTAAAGTGTTTAATTAATTATTAATTTTATTGGAGCTCGGGATTATAGGTCCATTAGTCCCCGCGTCGTCCTAGTAATTCTACCAGACACAGAGGGTAAAATGGGAAATTTTAGAATTAAGGAATTCTATAAATTAAATACTCGAAAATAATTAATTGAGAATTGATTATTATTTAAATAATGTGATTATTTAAATTTGAATTTGAACACATCTAGATTTATCCATTTAAACTTATTTGATAAGTTGTTCAATTTAGAATTCAAATTAATTTAAGTTTGACTTAAATTGGAATTTGAATTTGAGTCAAAATTGGACTATTGGATAAATGATGATTTTTCTCTTCCTTCCCTATCTGAATTGGCGCCACACATAGGGTTAGAAAACCCTAATATGGCCGGCCACCTTGGAGATAAGGGGAAAGGATTTTTTGTTCAAAAAATTCAAAATTGGAGATAAGGATTTGATTCTGTTTTGAAGTCTGACTTCTACTCTTTAAATATGCGAATGATAGAAAATTGTGAACACAATTTTTGAAACATTTTTTTCAGCCCTAAACAGTTGGTGGCCGAATTTTTCTAAGGAAAAAGAGAGCAAAAATATTTTTCTCCAAAAATTCCACATCATGCATGCGTTGGTGTTTGTGAAAATTTGAGTGTTTAAAGAAACCTGTTTTGTCTCACGTGTGCCCACACACACGTCTACGTGGAATCAAGGAATTGACGTGGAAGACTTTGGTATTCTAAACACAAATTTTGGAGCAAGGACTGTTCGTGGACAAAGAACTCAAGTTATCATCCGAGTCGGCTTTTAGGTATTTTTCCGGATTGAGTTCTTGATGTAAATTAATGCGATTAATTTATTCGTGCATAAATTAATATAATCTATGGAGTATCTCAAAAGTTTTTCTGAAATTTTTGTTATACACGATCCGCCTTTCCCCACACTTCCGCACCCGAATTCGATTCGGGAACCAGCACATATATTATTGAATATTTTATGAATATCATTAAAATTTTCATGATTATTTATGTGACTTTAGATATTGTATATAAGTGTTACATGCAAGAGGATAATATTTAAGGATAATAATCAAAACGATGTTAGTAATGAATTTAATTAAAATTATGAATCTTTAATTAAAACATTGTTAATACATGTCATTCCCATTTAGAATGGAACGGTCTTATCCAGACTGTTAATACGATGAGATATTGAATGTGTATATTACACATAATGAGATTGTGTGGAATGGGGACACATACACTATGAATTTCTGATAATTTCTATTAAGTATAAAAATTCTAATTGAGTCTATCAATAGTCATATATAGAATGATCTTAATCCTGAGTTATTAGCAGACTCCTATTTATATATTTGTGTCTTTTGATTTACTCAATATAGATTCTGAGATGTTTAATTAATCATATTCTTTGTATTTTGGAGACATGATGAAGTGAGTAGCTGAGAATGTTAATATACGAGATGAAATCCATTCCTTCTTGAGAAAAAAACAGATAAATAATTCTTAAGAGGATTGATTCAGTACTTGGACTAATACGAGTTATGATTCATGAATTTATTTTATGAATCATTGTCCATTAGAGTATCAATAATACTCAAAGAGAAAGATGTAATTAGAGAGGTTGATGGATTTGACCTATGACTAATTATGAATTATTATCGAGGTTTGATCTATATGTAATAGACATATCAAGTGGACACTTTACAATTTAGAAGTAAATTCTATCTATAATTACGAGAATGTAATTCCAAGTTTATAGTTGAGTAACTTTAGAATTAATAGAATTAGTTAATTAATTAAAGAATTTTAGTTAATTATTAATTTTATTGAAGCTCAGAATTATAGGTCTATGAGTCTCTGCGTCGTCCTTGTAATCCTACAAGACACTAAGGGTAAAATGAGAATTTTATAATTATGAAATTCTAAATAGAACGCTCAAGACTAATTAATTGTGAATTAATTAAATATTAAATAATGTAATTATTTAATTTGAATTTTGAAACGCACTGAAAGGCTCTAAAACTTACACAAAGTTGATTAGATGTCGTTGCATTGGAATCAATGGCTTGGTCTCATCATTTGTGAAATTGTTGCGCGTAGGTGTGAACATGATCAATGATAGTTTTGAAGTAGCAAAATTGCAAATATTCAAAGCAAAGCCTATGTTGGTTATGTTTTCAAATTCTGAGATATTGTTCCTGTCTATTATTCATGATTAGTACATCAAATACATTACTTTTCACTTTGCTCAATGTGAACATTGGGATATCTCTTTTTGTAGGTCAAGAATCTAGATATATGTTAAGAATTGCTTGGCACCATCTTTTACAAAATTGCTTCCATTGTTGGTTTCTGGACTTTGGGCGCACAATTCTTTTGTTCTATATCAGGAAGATGTAGATTTATCAACTAAAGTTAGCTCCATTGCCATCTATGGACGTGATTTTGTGAAATTTGTTGCCACTAAACTCTCCTTTTGAAGAGATGGACTTTTAGAGGTTTGAATTGTAGTGTTTATTAGTATGCAGATAATTGCGTTTATTTGGTTCTTTTGAAATGTACTTAGAGCCAGACGTTCTATCTTGGAGCTTCTTTTAGAGAGAAATTTTGTTGAAAAAAATCCATCTGGAGAAAGCACAATTGTGAGGACAATTGGGTTTTATGACTACTGGATTCTTTGATTGATATGAATTTGACGTGCTTCAATAAGGAAATAAAAAGTCTTATTATAGTTGTTAGTACCACAATAGTAACAATCGGTGAAAACAAGCGAATATTCTAAGGGTAATTCGGGATATAGATTGGGTGTATTGTAATGTTAGTCTTTGCCTCTGGATTCAATCCTTGAACATGCATGCACATGTTAATTTTATTGTAAACTGGGACCTAAACATTAGAGGTGATCATAGAGTAAATTGTACCGTTGCATCCTAAGTTACTTGTTTTTTGCATAATGAACTCTGAACTTTAACTTTTGATAAATTACATCCTGAATTTTAAATCAATTAAAATTAAGGTCTAATAGCCAATAAATAATATCAAATTGACAATTTAAAGCACGAGATTCGCACAGTATCAATTTGATAACGTCATTAACTATTGGATCTTTATCGTAATTGATTTTAAAGTTTAGGGTGTAATTTTTTAAAATAAAAAGCTCAGGGTCCACATGTAAAAAATGAATAGTTTGAGGTGTAAATAACACACTATAGAAGATGACCAGATTAAGTGTCTGTAACCCAAAAAAAGTCCATATTGGCTACTAAGTACAGGTTGGACCAACAATAAAATAACACTAATTAAAGTCTTTGCTTTCATCTGTTTCGTTTTCATAATTAGTTTATTAGTTATGAGAATACATTGTCGGCCTGCTAAATTAAACTATTAAAGTTTTGACCTGATTAATTATAATTTTATAAATTAATCTTCAAATATATCATACAAGTAACCAATTAAACACATTCCATATTTCACAGCAAAGTAGTTTAATTGTAAAAGAATCAGAGGGTCTCGAATGAAGAAACATTAACACATGTAAATTTCTACAAAATCAAAGCAATTATTATATACCTCAAATCTTTATTCGCTGTACATAAAACATGATAACTAATAATAAGGTCGAATATCAAATATCAATACAAAACGCACAACATGAAAGTGAATAATCAACATAACATACACCAGGAAGATAGTACATATGCATAGATCAATGGAACAAAGCTATGGCAAAGAGCAATGAGGTGACGAAATAGCCACGGCCGGGGAATCTCGAAGGGGCTGAATTTTGTGGAGGAGGAGCAGCGGTGGGACCGTTAATAGATGACGAAGAGCCCGGCGGGGGTTTAGCAGAGCCGCTAGAAGGCGGAGTGGCTGTGCCGTTGGCAGTGACGTTAATGGCTAGTTTTTGTCCCCACTCGCAGTGCTTGTTGTATGTCGACGTGAAGAAATGTTCTCCGGTGCTCTTAAGGGTGATATTCGCTGGAGTGGCCTTGTAAACGGCAATGGTGTCGTTCTTGGTACAGTTCTCGTAGACGCTCTTGGTCACGACGGCGACATCGTCTGATCCATTGACGAAGTTGAAAACTGCCGGCAAGTGTAGTAGTATGTTAGAGATATAGATAATTTTCTTTTAGCTGCAATACTAAATATTTTCCTCATATTCAAAAGTCTACAAAAACAGTATTTAAATATTTCACGTTTTCAAGAGTAAAGATGGTTTAGAAGTCTTTGGAATTTTGTAGAAAGTAAGAGCCCAATAAACAAACAAACAAACAAATAAATAAATAATATAAGAAGATGAAATCTTCCAAATTTCTAAATTCTTTGTTCTTCATGATCTACCACAGTGATCTGATTTTAATGCAAATATTATAATAAAAAATATACTATAAAATAGTAATTCCCATACAAAAATTGAAGAATATTAACAAAACAACTTCTGAATAAATTGGACTATATAATATCTGATTAATCCTAATTGCTATTTGCATATGAATTCTCCCCAGATCTTTATAGTTTCTTACCTAGAGTATCTCCAACCGTGAAAATCTTTCCATAAGCCCAAGTCTTATAATAAACTTCACCACCTGGTGGGATATACCAACCCAAGTCGTCACCAACGATATAAGTTGTATTGCCAGGAGCTGAAGTCACGTTGAAGGCTAGCTTTTGTCCAGATTTGCAGTGTCCATCCTTTGTGCCAATAAAGTAGTACTCTCCAATCGTATCCAATGTGAAATTGGCTGGACTTTTTGTCTTAAGAGATATGGGGTTTGTGGAATTGCAGGTATTGAAAGCCTCCTTTGTCACCTTTGCCACGTCTTGGTCTCCATCGCTGAAATTGAACACTATAGAGACATTGAACCAGATATAAAATGTTACTAATTAATTTATAAAGATGATCGATAAAAACCCAATTCATCTTAAGTTTTTTTTTTTTTTTTTTTTT